CGGTAACCTGGTTGCCGAGTTCACGAAGTGAATTGGCTTGTTTTACAACGTCCTTGCCAAGCGACGAAAACCCACTCCCGATGGCAAACACCGGGGGGGGCGGCTTGTTTTACAACGTCGTTGCCAAGCGACGAAAACCCAACCCCGATGGCAAACACCGGGGGGGGCGGCGGGGGGGCGGGGCGGATACTACTGTTTGGCGACTTGTGGTCGGTTGACCATGATCCACGCATGGCATTCGAGACCGAGCATCCTTCCGAACTGCCACGAGAGACCTGGCCAACATCTGCCGCCCTTTTATTTTTTGCCATCTGTGAACGGACTTTTCTTGCGTTGGATGTGGAGCCGGGAGGGGAGGGATGTGGAAGGTGCTACAGGCGATAGATAGTACACGTGTGTCTGCAAACGCATTCCGTCAGTGACATAAGACACCACAATCCCCTGGACCGGTGGTCAAATCTCTACTACTCCACGAAGAGGATGCCAACCCCAAATGACATGTTTTCGCACTGATCTCGACAAGATGGTTCCCAACGCCGCCACTATTTCTACTGCTGCGTAGAGTATTTGAACTTTGAAAACCAAAGAGGAGTGGTGCGTTGTTGTTCGGTCAGTTTGGAACAATCCGCATTTACGACTCGAGATGATCAAGTTGCCGCATGTCCCGAGGAGAGTCTGTCATCAGCTCTTGACAAGACGTGAAAACTGTATTTGGCCCTCTCCAATGGGGTGATGCTACTGCTGTAGTCGATTTGTAGTGCGTGGGCGTGTAGTTCAGTTGTGAGCACGCAAACGTGCTGCAGGGATTGCAGGTGTACCTCATCGGGCTTGTGTACCCCTTTCTTGCTAATGGTGTGTGTGTTCTTCATATCTTCTGATGGCTCTAGCATTTTTGTGACCACGGACCGAGTCATAACTATTTAGATAGATTTTTTGATTCTAGCAACTGACACCAGTAAAATGCCAAGAAAACAAGAAAACAACAACAACAGCAACAACAACAACAACAGCAGCAACAACAACAACAACAGCAATGCGATTACAGCAGCGTGTTGGTTCATGCAGCACTTAGGTACATGACACAAGATACCACACCCCCCGGAACGATTTTGATTGCTCGATTGCTCCACGACAAAAGAGGAAGTAAAATCAAACGATACGTTTTCGGAAAGCTCTTGACGAGGCGGTTGCCGGCGACGCAATTTGCGGCACCATCCGTTGGAGCAATTGATCTTTGAAATCGGTACAGGGGGTATGATATCTTACATCTCCTACTGTTGCTGTTGGACAATAAAAATCAGGAGACAGCCCGGCGAGCAGAACGCTGCTATGGGTGTAGTGCAACGGTCACACATGAAACTCTTTTAACCAACTAGTCAACACCTTTTCCTACTCCTTTCAATCCTCTGGCGGTTGGGGTACGCGTTGCAAGTGTGTCCACCTCATACAAAAGAAAACAGTAAGTTTCGATATCTACTTGTAGAAAACACCAAGCTGCTGATCCGAATCACCAGTGCTTGGGAGACATCAAGCAAAACCTCGCACCAAACGTGACGCAATGCTCTTGCAACAGACGCTGCTGCTGCAGCAACACTTGGGCGGCCAGTAGCTGCAGGAGAGGAGAGGAGAGAAGTGGCAGCACATCTGCACCCACCCCTGCTGCACACACCACGATGAAAGATGACAGCCACGTGTGTGTGCCACATTCACTCACCGAACGCGGTCGTTTCCTTTGGCCTGGCGACAACAGTTGCAAGCGCAGCAGCACCGCCTAGCGCACTCCTGAGAAAAGCTGCCCTACTGGTGCCGATCCGGCCGGATGGCCCCTCTGCACGCATGTTGACGTTCCTGCTTCAACACACACCGCCAGCAGAGTCATCTCAGCGAGCACCACGCACAAAACACGCAGCGAAGGAAATAATGCGGATGACGATTGCTGCTGTGCACAGGTACTGACACCGCGGCGGTGTGGAAGCGTGTTCCTCGACGAAGACCGATCCACCTCTTGGTGTTCAGATGAGCTTTTGGGGATGATCATGGGCGGCTAGGTCGTTGGCGGCACGGCTTACCTTGGCAAAGCTCGCTTGCTTGCAGGGTTACCGCTGCTGACCCGGAACGAACAACATAGACTGTTGACGAACGGCTGGCCCCGGGGCAGGAGAACCGCAACCAGCAGAGCCACTGCTGCTGATCCATTGCGCCATCTCCAGGACATCGTCTTGGCACCGCTACGCGCAAGATTTGAGCAAGCTGCCGTTAGCAACGTAATGGATAGATTCCTACCGTCACCGTACAGGCACCTTCGAAAAGTGCGCCTTGACCTCAGCAAACAGCTGAAGCGCGGAAGCCCCCTCTGCGTGTGTCCGCGAATGTATGGATCTTTGGGCAATAGCGTTTCATGCGGCGAGATTACTGTAGTTACAACAGCGGTCCATGTAGATCGATGCATAGTCACCATTCTACCGGTATTGCGATCTTTGTCCACGATCTTATACCTCGGGGCGTGATAGGGTGTGCCAGCAGAGGCTGGCAAATAAGAGGGGGTTCTTCACAAGGGGAAGGCAGAGCAGCCGACAACAAGGCTCGAGGCTGTGGGATCTACACGGAGGGATCTGGAACTGTAGCGGACAAGGACGGCCCGTTGTATGCACAGCCGACCGTATCCCACCCGATGGCATTGAAGGGAATAAGAACAGAAACAGCTGGAGAGGGAGACAATATTGCTGTAAACAATAAGAGGGTATAGGACGGAGAGAGAGAGAGAGAGAGAGAGAGAAAGGGAGAGAGAGAGAGTTTCTGAGGGGGGGGGGGCTCTAAATGCGGAGCAAAGGAGGCCAACTTATTTTGTTCGCGCTGACGGTGAGCACGGGGCATGCTGGGGGAGGAGAGTCCGAGCCAGCACTGCTGTCCGCGAATGGAACCTGCAACGGTGCGCCCACACGAGAGCAGTACTTGTAGAACAACTGCCACATGCTTGTAGAGCCACAACAGAGCAATGAGTGAAATAGGCTTGTTGACTTTCTTGTAAAAACGAAACTGGTGCAGTGGTCAAACAAAGGCGTGTGCCTGTGTGATGAGAGACCGACGCGCAACCTGACCAAAGTGGTGGAAAATGAGCGAAGTTTGAGTTGCTCTCCGCGCCCTTCCAACCCCTGTTTTCTTCGATATGTCTCTTGCGCGCGGGCATGTTCGTTCCGCCAACATCGGCCCCTGGGACAGTCTGCCGCAGAATAACACAGGTGACGTTCACACGGGTAGCTTTTGACCGTGTAGCTGTACCACAACCAACCGATCCAGAATGAGAGGGCTCGGATAGGCCGAACAAAAGTTGACAATCTGTAGAATGTCCACATAGTTTTTTTTTTTTTTGTCTTCACTTCAAATCGCTCACAGCACTAGTGCCGTTTTACTCCAACCTGTGGTCACACAGAAGAGCCCCTCTCTACAATACCCTTCCCTCCTGCGATGCTTTCTTTCTCTTTTATTGCGAGAAGAGTTCAGCACTCTCTTTCCCCTGTGTACACACGAACAAGCGCTATCCACTAGGCCAGGAGCGGAAGCGAGAGAAAAACTCACTTTTGCAAGAAAAGCTCGCTTTCGCCGGGATTCGAACCCCTGACCTGACCTCTAGAAGGCCAGAAGGTTTCGAGGATACCAACTAGACCACCGGGGCGACCGGCATGATATATACTATACCTCAAAACGAATAATACACAGCCACAGCGAGTCCATCGAGACAAGCTGGCAAACCAAATCTAACTTAGATCGACAAGGCTGATGCAGCCGAGTGCCCTTGTTGTCGAACTTAATTAAAATTGAGCCGTGCTGAGTCTCTACCAGTACTGTAGAATGCAGATTGTGTCAACTACCGCACATCGAAGGGTTCAGTAAGTTGGCCTCTGATCTTACTCATTCTATGGTGCAAGAGATTGCCGTGGACAATGTAGTAGATACAAACCCCTCGAGATTGCCTAACGAAAACTTAACCTCGGCCCCTCTTGCTCTTAAACGTTCGGCTTGCGTATGAAAGGGATTTGTGGACCTCCACACCGAGTGGCCTCTCGTAAGGAGTACCAACAAGGAGGTTTCAAGAAGTTCACGCGACCCAGGAGATGACGACGATGCTACCGTTCGTCGTCAGGACGAAGCGATGAGCATCACATATGAGGCCGCCATAGAACGGTAAGTTCGCCTCAGTATAACTGACTGTGTACGTACGCATCTCTGGGTGTTTCTGCTTGCAAGAACATGCTCCGCCACCGTAACGAGAAAAACTGCCCAGAGGAAGAGTACTTGGCACTTGCTGACTTGGTATCTACATATCACATATAATCATCATGACGAAAAAGCCGTGAAACAACGATTCCCCCCTAACCACGCCGAACCGACACCCCCCATCGGAAGCCGTCCGTCCTTTCAATCATCAAAGCTACCCACCTATGGTGTGACGCGGCCGCAGTCGTACAACGCATCGTCCTCGCTGCTTCGAAAAGTACCTCATCGATGCCCGCGTATTTTCACCCAAGGAGTTACTGAAGGCCGCATTCATACCGCAGGCAGCAACTATACGGGTGGCCAAGGCAGGTTGTACCTGGTTCACAACCTCCCCACAATCTCCCTAGGGTCAGGTTATACGCGAACGTATGTATGCGGCTAGCCCCACATAACGGATGGTGGCGTTGGTCCATTCAACAGGGCGGGCTGGCAGCGTAGACCACCTGTTGTCCAAGGTCGATCCCCAACGTCCAAACCTGACCCCGGAGAGGTTGAGCACAAGTTACAACCTCCCTTTGGCCACCCGTGTACATGTCCTGCACTCCCTCTCGCGTTGCTTCGTGGTTAATGATCACTTCGTTCGTCTACAAGTGTCAAACGCTCTTTCCCCCTATCGCTGACAGATACTGCGAGCAGTCGTTCCTGAGCAGCAGTCAGCAGCGGGTCTGTTACTCCATCGTCCCGTTCGCGGTAAGCTTGTGCCCACCCTCCTGGGAGGATTACCGCATCTCACCATGCCCCTGCCACACTGAAGATATATTCTGACTGGTACCCGTGGTATCCTTAAGGTTGATGAATCTCACAGTCAGCTTCCTGATCCTCCCTTGCTGATCAACACTTACCCATGTGCCACGCAGGCGGAAGTTGGAAAGTGGCTTGGCATGGGAGTCTCGCCAGAGCGTGTCTGCCGCAAACTCGGCAGGCGTAACCCGGTGAGTACGAGACTAACCGCTCCTTCTTTGATTGTTATTTCTGCTGCTGCTGTGCCTCGGCTGGCAAAGGTTCTGTCATCATTCGATTTGCGTTCTCGATTTTTACTCCCACCTGACGGGTTTGGAAGGCCTAAAGACGATTGATTGTCGTCGTCACGCCTCGGGGACAAACACTCACGCCCCTTAAATTTTGAGCGAAAAAGGCACACACCACTGCAAAGAGGGAAACCCCATCACCCCGCCAATTTCTGCCTAACGACACCCACTCGCACGCAGGAAACGTGTTTCGATGCGAGGGATGCGGAGCGACCATCGAGAGTGGCGGAGGTGGCACTGGATTGGCGAAGTAGACCACCGTCGATTCCCCAGGACGTGGACTGCCTCGTCGAGCATCGGAATTCCCTCTCCCCACGCTGGGTGCTGCTAGATTAGCTAAGCCGGGCAGAAAGCAACCCCGCGGAAACATGAACACGCGTTTTCGTCCTCCCGTACCAGTGATAATACCACCTTTGCATGCCTCGGAATCAGAATACGCTGAAGGGTGGTTCAGGCAACGACTGGATCGGGATGATTTTGAGCCGAAAACGTGCAACGATTTTGACGCTCAATGTGGTTGGGCTGAATGAAATGAAACTTACAAGCAGTGTGTGAGCGAGCAGCCAGAACGGAGATTGCTTTCTGGGTTTGGGGTCACAATCACAATGGAATCGCCGGACTCTTCTTCACCTCGCCTTGGGGCACAAAAAACAACAATTGCAAACACTTTTCTCCACCATTTTCTATTGCCGGAGTCAACCGTTGCGTGTTTGACCCCCTCCGTCTACCTACGCTACATCGACGAATCGAATGCAGTACCAGACGACGGGGCACCTACACTAAATAGGCCTCGGTAACCACCGGGGTAGTCGAGACGGCGACAAAAAAAGACACAAGGCAACTCATACTTGGCCCAGCAGACTCGCGTTGGCTTGCTGCACGACCGGACCTCCTCTGTCTCTCTTCTCTCCTCCTTTCACAGAAAGCGGTTCAGGGCGCAGCAATCGACCCCACCCCCCCCTCCCCTCAGCCTGCGGGAAACCCAAACCAATGTACGTTAAGGTACATTCGTCCTAAGTTGCCCTTCACGTCGTCTGCCTCACTCCCAACTATCGCAGCAAAACACCCACGTAATCGACAAAATGCAATCTGTACCAACGATACAGGAACCAAGCCGATGCATCACGCCCTCCCTGTCCACCTCCCAGAATAATCTGCGTGGGCCCAATACCGGCTGAGCTCGGGAAAGGTAAGCGCCACGCTCCCCTCTCCTCCGGCCGGCTGATGTATCGCAAGAGGGATGCCTGGTTGTAAGTGCGGAAATGCTCCTCAACAGGCACATCGACTCCTACTCTCCACTTCACGCGTCTACCTCTACCCAATCTCGACCCCTTCCCGTCGACGCATTGCTACGCTACATGTCTGCCGTGGCCCACTTGTACGCGAGCTCCGCCTTGTAGTTGTTGTCAACCCCCTTGGCTATGATCCGCGACTCCCAGCCGTTTCCACGGTCGTTACCGTCCCACCTGTAGCCAGGCCGGATGCCAAACCTTGGACACGTAGACACACCAACGAACGAGGGGCGGCAGGAACAGTCGGGGAAAGCACGGGGGGAGCGGGGCGAATTCATGTATTGTACTCCTTATCGGTCAACAGGGGGATAACGGGGCGTCTCGACGCTCTTCGAAAGAACGACAACGGAGCGGTCGGTCACCGGTATCGATCGGTGTTTTGTCCCACGCCAAACTTCCGCAATTATTTATCAACTCTATCAGCATCGGCTAAGCCCTTTTTCGTGGCAAGTTGGGGGCTCTGCGTGAAGAGGGCAAGACCGCTGTAGTGGTGGAAGGGGGGGTTGGAGGGAGACAGCATCCCCCCCCCCCCCCCCC